AGACATTTTCTCTCTCTAAGAAGCTTTTTTAGTGATAAATATTAAAATGTATTATTAAGATAAAGAGAGAAAAGTATGGCACATGTGAGGCCCACGACCACCCACACGTACCAACACTCAAGGTAGATTAACCTTGAACCAAGCCCAAGAACCTATCATGTGAAACCCACTAATTATATTTTGAGTCAAGCTAACTAGGATTTAAAACTTAAACATGCTACTAAATTTAACAATACTTAAGAGTGTTCCTTAATGACCTAATCACTTAACCAATAGGCCAAGAGTTGAATCCACCAGGCACGATCTAACTAATGGCACGATACCATAAGAAGTTTATGGAAATAAACCTAAATATTCTTACATTTTATGACATTTGAAACATGCCTCATATTTTCATTTTTTACACTAGGGTTTTTTTTGTATATTTGATTTTCCCAAAATGTCCATCATCTAGAATTTTAAGTCCTGAAATGGTGTCTTTCTTCTTTCCTTTTTGTATCGTTGATTATAGGAAAGAAAAAAGTGTCATTAAATCACGCCCTAAAGTCTATTTGCTTAACCGTGCAGATTGCCTCATCGTCATAGGTTGAACATTAGAAAGCCACGTAAATGGCTAAATCAATTCAAAGCTCTAAATTCTGCTATTACTTACTAAGCATTTTGAGTTCCTAACACCTAAATTTGAGACGATACCTGTTCAATTAAAGGGGGTTTTATTTTGGTGGAATTTTGAGGTAGTGGTAGACCCAAATTCCACCAAAAATACTCCCATGTTTGTTACACCCCCTTGGAAGCCGCGAGATGGAAGCGCGGCATTCCACGTGGGTTTAAATTTAATGTCAAATGGGTTGTGTTTTTGGCATCTGCCCCTTACATGCATGGGAGGGGCGACTTCCAAAAATTTTGCTTCCATAAACAAACATGGCCTGAGGGAGTTATTTTTTTCAAGCATGTATAGAGATTTTTTTTTTTTAAAAAAAAAGGTTATTTACTAGGTTGAGGATGTTATACACTCAATTTTTGATGTCCTAGAAATACTCTTATTTACTAGGTTGAAGATGTTATATACTAAATTTTTGATGTCCAAGAAATAGTCCTTGATGAGGTCTGATTCAAGGGAGTGCCTATATTATATGCTCCCGCGGTAGCATACAATCTTTTGGCCAAATTAAATAAACCGATTATAGGCTCATTGGGGAGCATCTCGGAGGTTCATTTCCGGAGTAAACCTTATCAAGAAGCATAGGATTCTGAATTTTGGGGTGTAGCATCCTCAACCAATAATCCAATTTCAAAAAGAAAGAAAAAACCAAGTTCATACGCATTATATATGTGCGTGAAAAAAATCATAGTAGCATATTGAATAGAGAACATCTAATTTTTGGATATTCAGATTTTTTTTTTTTGGACAAACGAAAATTGACATATGTAAATATATAGGAACTCAAATAAGGATATCCTTTTGGCCATTCTAGTGTGATTTCCAAGGGAAAATTATACAAAGAGATCATTTACTTTTAGAATGAGCAGGTCACAATCGTTCTTGCCCTTCATATTTCAAAAAGAGTAGTTGTAAGCATGTTGTTGATAAAACTCAAAGTTTTAAAATAATTTTCTCAAACTTCATGACACACCCCACCCCAAGCCATCAAATTTGACATCTAATGACTCGTACTAATTGTAAACTCCTTTTGTGAAAGATAAATGGTTTGATAGTATAGAATCCCTTCTTCCAAAATATCACACTAAAAAAAAAGACACTTTCCAATGCCCACAGGAGAAGTAAATAGTATATTTGCCATCGCAATGGACATAATCGGTCCGTTCAAGTTTAACGTGTTCAAGTTTAACGTGAAAAATCGACTACCACAGATCAAATATGTCTGTGGCGGTACCGTAATGGACATAATACATTTGTGGTGGTTGATTTTTCTCCACCGTCCCAAAAAATCAGATGATGGCAAGTATATAGGTGAAAATACTGTTCATTGACGCTTATAGGCACTGTGCAGAGCTTTCACTAAAAAAAAACATCATTAAAATGGGCTTTTCATCTAAAGGATTTAAGCAGCTCAACCACTAACTTAGCTTTTTGGTAAGGAGCGACAATTATTGAGGAGTTTGAAATGAGAATCACACTCTATGTTTATTGTCAAATTAATCTCACTTCCAATAGGAGACTTCAGTGGGACCCATCAAGGAGACCCTTGTGCAACTTTCTCCTTTTATTATTTGGTGCATGCATGCAAGACCACATGACCTTCTCACCCACCTTTTTAGTCCCATCCCCTATGGTTTGCTAAAAGTCCACCTCCTGTGTGTCCATATGAATATAACAAAGGGTGTGGTTTACATAGAACCGACGCTAAAGAAACGTGGTTTCAGTACTGAAAATCTTTGAGATAGCTTTAAAATATATTTTCAACTTTAACTATAAAATTTAAAACTTAAAAAACAATATAGATCGAGCAGATCTATGAAAACTTGAAAATCTTAAAAATCGACAATCCAAAAATACGTTACAAGATGTACTTTTCCAAAATGTGAAATCCATTTTTTTTTCTTATGTCCATGTATCTTGACGTCAAGATGATCAATTTGAGGATATTTGGGTATCTAAACAACCTCTTCTAGTAAACTTTTCGAGGTGGGCTCTAATTTGATTGTTTGGAGCATTGGCTCTATATAAACTTTTTCCTATATAACAAGTCTCTAAATACTTAAGAAAGTTGAAAATAGTGAATCCAAATAATGTGTTTTAAGATGTACTACTTTGAGGTATTGAAATTATTTTTTCAATATTCATACATCTTGGGATCGAGATGATCAATTGGAAGATATTTCAATATCGGCACAACCATTTCATGGGGATCCTTAAGGTGCATTATGTTATTGTACCATGAGTTTGACACCTAATACATATATTTTCCTTTTAATAGATGGGAAATGTTTCTATATTTTCCCTAAAACATGGAAGATCTACTCTTCCGCTACCATCCAGCCATCCAATTTTGATCAAGTGAGTCACTCACCGTTTGATCTTAGATCTGACTCTGAAAGTATTTTATTTTTAATTTTTTTTATACAAATTGAATGGATATGAAATTTGGTACACGTCATCTTCTCATTGGGGCGCAACTACAAAAATATTAAAAATAATTTTTTGATAAAATATAATGACCAAAATACCTCTTGAAACTTTCAAAGGTATTTTGGTCATTTTATTTTATTAGAAATATCGCTTTTATATTTTTCACTAGTGTGAATTTTATAGAGGATTGGACGCCCAAAATTTGGTGTCAAAATAGTTTATAAAAAGATTAAAAATAAAATGGTGCATAGACATGACATTGTGATTGGGGCAATCTTAACCCTCCATTCAAAATGGAGGGTTGGATAAGGGAAAATATGTAAGTTTTATGTTGTAAGGGTAACCTAGAATGTTTACCCTTAATAAACAACCCTTAATAAACAGATAGTCTAGAGAAATGTATTATAAGAACATATTATTTAAGGGACTTTGAAATTTTTGAGGTGATTAATCGGAAGGTCAAACTGTATTGTGTGAGTTATTGTGGTGCTTTTAATTTTAGAAAAAATTATCAAAATACGTATAATAGATTAATTATTTAATAATTTACTTTTTTAAAAATATTCCAACTCAATGTTGTATATTTTTATGAATATTTTAAAATTAAATAAAAGGCAGTGGTTTGCATAAGTTTGCAACCTCAAACAATTAAAGTAAGATACAACTTCCAACGTTTGCATGAGATGCACTTTTGGTGTAAAAAATTCTTAGGATGTTGCAAGAATCTATTTTTATCTTTATTCATAAAATTTAAACTTAAAAAATAATTCAAATCGAGAAGGTCTATAAACATAAGAAAATCTAGAAAATGGTCGGTCCAGATACTGTGTTGCAAGATGTACTATTTTTAAGACTTGCAATATCTTTTTTTCTTCATATTTATAGCAAAATTATTTCATATGGGCTGGAGTGCATTCCTACAATATGCGGTGCAAAGGTATTAAGATGGATGCTTCACGTTAGAGATTACATGTTCTTAAAAATTAAGTCCAAAACCCATCTCAAAGATAGATTTTTAAGAGGTGACTCATTTCTACATGGACTCGAAGAAACCGTGCCCATAATTATATATCTCGATGTCGAGATGATCAATTCGATATTTTTCCAACATCTCAACAACTTTTTTTTTAAGGGTACACTTTATATAAACTTTTGAGATACAATGAGACCGTTTATCTTTGGAATAGGGAGGTTACGATTACTTATAACCATATGATGTGAAAATCATATAGCTAAGGTGTGTGATAAGGTTTGCAAAAAATTCTTTTGAACTTTGAGCTCGATCAATGAAATAAATACAGCTATCAGATTTCACATCCAATAGTCAAGACTTAGTATAGCCACTTTGTACCAAAAATAAATAATCTCATTATATGCTTTCTGTGATGGGATGGGGAGAAAGTTTATATAGAGCTGAGGCTCTAAACAATTAAATTAGAGCCCACCTCAAAAATTTCACTACAAGAGGTTGTTTTGATGCCCAAATATCCAAAAATTGATCATCTCGACATCAATATGCATGAACATGAGAAAAATATGGATTTCAAGTTTTGGAAATAGTGCATCTTGTAACCTATTTTTTGACCGTCAATTTTCAAGATTTTCAAGTTTCCATAAATCTACTTGATCCACACTATTTTTGAAGCTTTAAATTTTATAATTAACGATAAAAATATATTTTAAGGCTATCACAAAGATTTTCAGTATTGAAACCACATCTCTCGATACTATTTGAAAGTGGGCTCTAATTTGATTGTTTTGAGCGTCGGGTCTATACAAACCGCACCCATAAAAGATAGTAAAGTATTAAATCGTTACTCCCTCAAATCGCAAAGGGTTGACGCCGTATATATAACCTCGCCTTGAGGAGATACTTTTCCTTGAGAGGGAGAAAGAAATGTAGAGAGAGAAAGAGGCAGAAATGTAGGGGAGAGAAAGAGGCACCTTTCGTCTCGCTGTCATGCGGTCTTATAGGCTGCTATTATTATGTTGGAGGTAGTTGTCCTAGGCCCAATTGCCCCTTATTTTACAGGTTCAACAACGCCCACACATGCATTAATGACCCTAAAACTATGACAAATAGGCCTGTTGGTGGGACCATCCTTAAAAAAAACACCCCCTAAAGCGCCTTCCCCATCAATAAAATGAGGGCACCTACCCCCACAATTCCTTAACTCTTGATCTCCCTACTCTCTTTCTCTCTCTTACTTGACACTCTCTTACTTGACTCTCTTTCTCTCTCTAACTCTCTCTCTCATCCTACAACCGCGGCAACAGTAATGAGCAAATGCCAGGCCCATTCCAGTTTCTGAACCTTCTTGGGATTACACTTGCTTTGTCCTTCTCACCAATCATGTGACTCTCCTTCTCTCTCTTCATCCACCATGCTGGGTAACTCACTAGGGTTTCAGGCCCTAAGGACCTGGAGCAAGAAGAGTTCACTCTCTTCTATCCAGGTCTCCTTTCCCTCTTCCTCTTCCTCTTCTGAACCGTGAGTTGCAGAACAGGTGGCTCCTCTCTCTTTTACTGTGCCTCTTTCTACTGATGGTTTTGAAGTGATTTCTTTTGTGGGGAAATTTTTTTTTTTGGGGGTAAAGGGAGATGTACTCTGCATTTCATTCGCTTGAGAAAGGGCTTGGGCGTGAGGATTTACAGGGAGCTCTTGAAGGTACGAATCTACCCGGTGATGCTTGCTTGGTTCTCACTACGGATCCGAAGCCGAGACTCAGATGGACTGCCGAGCTTCATGAGCGATTTGTTGATGCAGTTACTCAGCTTGGTGGCCCTGATAGTGAGTTCTTATTTTTACCAAGTTCTTTTTTTTTTCGTCCATTATAATGATTTATGGTGTTTAGCCATGTAATTATTTCCATTTCTGAAAATATTGGAAGCTTTCATAGTTTGAATGCTTTCCTGTCTTTCTTTGTTTATTCATTCTTAATATTTTTTTTGGTTTGTTTGTTTTTCTGAAACATTTACTGCTTTTACATTCTGAATGTTGGTTGTTGAAGAATGGGTGTTCGTTGGATAAACTTTGTATTTTGCTGCTGTACTACACACTTCTTGTTTGAGAGCATATATTTTTTCTCAATTTGAGAATGTGTTGGATGTACCTGGTTTTGGATGAAATTTTGATCAAGTAACGTGTGAATGGGTGAAATAATTGGGAAATTTTTGGGTCGACTGTAGATCAGAAGAAGTATTGGGGGTTGCTCACATTACTATTAATGCAGTTTATTTTTCCAGTGAAGTTATGAATTTGCTATTACTTTGCTACCCAGGAAATTTTTATGCTAGATGTAAGTGGTACTTGTGATCATTTTCGAGATCTGTTCCTAAAGGGGTTTAAGGTGTGTTTCATGATGTTGTTCTTCCTTTCGCCACCTAGTAATGCTTTTCAAGATATCTAGAGGTTGGTTCTTAAAAACGCTACAGATGAGGTGCGCTACATTATATTGTTGATAACATTTTGTATGCTTGACCCAACATATTACGGTTCTTGAATAGTTTGCAGAGAATGTTTCATAAATAAATTTGTTATGTAATGACTTTCATTGTCACCTGTTTTTAATTTTTAAAAGAGACAACAATTATGTCAAAATTCCAGTGTTGCTCAAAAGATTAGAAATCAAATGGGATCGCTCTGAGATATTTTTGCAAAAGTTTCAAGAAGCTTAGGAAATTAGCTCCATGAAGTGTTTCAAAAAGCGCTAGGCGGGTCCTAGGCAGCTTGCGGCTCCAGGCCGCCCAGCGCCTAGGCGAGTGCCCAGAACCTGGGCGGCCCACTGCAGTTATTTGAGTATCAGACTATCAGTTATATTCAAATTATACTACATATTAACATTTAGCACACATTCCATAAGCATAACCATAATCCATAAGTTGGTTCATACTCCATAATCCATATCCAATTAAAACTTAAAATATTCCATCCAACCAAATTATAAAACTATGAAAGTAATACTTGAAGACTCAAAAGGATCTTCAATAGTTTAAATGTTCAATACACAATACTTCAAGCACAATTCAAACTTCAAAGTAACAAAGTTTAATAATTATTCAACAATCAACATTCATTCATCATCAGAAAATCTTGGGTCAGCTGCATTGGCTTCATATTCATCGGAGTTGACGGAGTCGTCACCCTCCTTGACATATTGCGACTCGTCTTCCTCCGTCTCTTGTGAATCTGCCTCTTCTTCCTCCTCTTCCTCCACCCTTGTTCTCTTTGCAGAAGCTTTAGTGGCCCTAGGAGGGTTAGCTGATGTCCCTGAAGCATCCATGACCATGTCCCATGTCAGTCTTTCATGCCCCTTGATCTCATCATCATCAACTAACCACTCCATAGCATTGTCCATATTTTTTGATTTGATGAGGTCTCTATTATCTCTCTTAGCAAATTTGTTCTTCAAGAATCGATTGTACTTGACATAAACAAGGTCATTGAGCTTCTTTGATTCAAGCCTGTTCCTTTTCTTTGTATGAACCTAACAAAATAAAATGAAAGTGAACTAATTAAAATCTAATATCTATGGTTCATGTATTATTTATAAAATTATACAAATTACCCTTATGACGTTACCCCTTCAAAAGTACTCCACCTGTGCTCACAACCGGACGAAGAAGTGGTTAGGTTTAAGATTCGAATGGCCAACTTTTGTAAATTTGAAGAACTACGCCCATGTTGGCTCCACCAATGGGCTGCAAAGAAATAAAAAAAATCATAAATAAATAATAGAAATACTTGATTACTTGAACAATTGAACTTGATGAAGATGAACTTAAGAATATTATTAATATAATAATATTTCATACCTGGATTAATTTTGGTCCTTTGCCTCATCGCTATTGGACTTCCAAAAGACTTCAATGAGCACTTGTAATTTATCAGCTCATCAGCGCATATAATATTCTGCATTTCAAGTTCAGGGACTAGCACCTCTACACACTTAGTAAATCCATCCATAATTGTGTCATTTGTTTGTATATCCTTGTCAAAATAAAACAAAGCTGGGTTAAAAAATAACCAGCTGCATGCAATGACCGATGTAGTTGCTTATCCCACTTCTCATCAATAATCTCCCAAACAGGCTTGTAGCGGGTTTCTTCATCATCGAAATTTGGGCTATCTCTCTTTTGTATTTCTCATAGCATCATATATGTAGCCCATAGAAGGATTGTCACTATCAACCATGCGAAGGACTTTAATAATAGGAAAAAATACCTTAAGAGCCCCCTTCATCTCTCGCCAAAAAACCTTACAAAGTATAATATCTCTCACCTTCTTCCCAACCTGAGCCTTAGACCACTTGCATGCTCTCCACTCATCCGAGGTAAACATTTTCTTCAATTGCACTCTCCTCGAATGTATGCTATTAGGCATAAGTACCAGGTTGCAAATCTCGTGACCCCAGGCCTCACAATCTCTTTTTTCTTTGTAAAGGTACGCATCATGCTGAGGGTGATATGGTGGTTATAAATGAAATTCGTATCATACTTTGCCTTCTTCACTGCACTTGATATCTCGGTTGAACCTCCACGAGCCTCAAGCATGAGGTCTATACAATGTGCTGCGCATGGTGTCCAAAAGATTCTAGGATAAGCTATGCGCAACGAATTAGATGCAGCAACATTAGGAGAGCATTGTCTGTGACAACCTCTACAACAAGATGCTCCCCAACCTTCTTGATTCCCTTCTCTATCACTTGAAATATGTAATGGGCATCATGGATATGATCAGAGGCCTCAATAGACCTCAAAAAAACAGTCCCTACTGACAATTCACAAGTAAATTCATTTGACTTTTTCTCTTCCTATCACTTCAAGCATCAGTCATAAGAGAAACCCCATACTGATCCATGCATTTTTCTTAAGTTCTACAGCTTTCTTCGTGGCACTCACTGCCTTTTTAAAAAAGGCTTTGAAAGCTCATATGTGGTTGGGGGTTTCATCCTAGGGCCAAATTGGCCAATTGCCTCTACTGCATCATAAAAGCTGCTCAAGCGAGCGGTATTGAAAGGAATGCCCGCCTCATAAAACCATGTAGCCAAATAATAAGCAGCTCTATCTCTCTCTTCCTTCTTGATTCTATTTTCAATGGTAGTTTGCTTTTTTGTTTTCTCTCCTGCAATCTCAGGGTCAGGCCGAGGTAAGAAACTATCCATAGGGCCTCTAACCTGAGGCTTCTTAGTCCCAGAACCAGAAGCAATTACAACTCCCTTCCCCTTTCCCATAATAATGGATTGCTCAACTTCTTGACATCCCTCTTCAATCCTTTCCTCATCACTATCATCATCATCAAAATTGACTCGAACCCAAGACCTAATCTCTGCTACAGAGGCAAATCTCTCATCTTTTTTCATTTTCACCAAGTTCATACAATTCTTTATTTCCTCTTTAACAGCATCAATAGTCTTTTTACATGGGGAAACATCCCCTCTGATACTGGCAAGATGTTTCTTGAACTGGTTTATGCTCCCTTTTGTATCATTTTCACAAAAATTGCATCTTATGCAATTTTTATCATTAGGATCTAGGTTATAGCCATATTTCCAACCGGGATCACTACTCTTATTAGATTCCGAAGAAGACATATAAAAAATAATGCAAATTACTAAAGCAATAAAAAAAATCACTTACTTTGAGTTTGATTGCTCAATCTTCAAACTTCCACTTCAAAGATGTTTCTAAATACTCGAAATCTTCTAAAACACCCCCTAATAACTTTGCAAAACATCAAAAAGTAAATATAATACCAATGGGTGATGTTTTGATCAATTTTGGTTAACTTTGAGTAACCCTTCGATCTTAAAAAATTCACCACAATCTAGTTTTTTGGTGGTTTCTATCTCTAAATTTGGCTCAAACAAGGTTTAGGTTTCAAATGAACCTAAACCCTAATTTTTGGGCCTTAAAAACAAAAAAACATGATGTAAAATGGCCTCATGAATTTTTTTTCCACCCCTGGACTGGGAGCTAGGCGGTTTCCGAACCGCCTAGGCAGCCGCCCAGGGATTGACCGCCCAGATTGGCCGCATCGCCCAGGCCTTTCGGATTGCCTAAGCGTTGGGCGGTCCGCTTTTTGAATCACTGGCTCCATGCTTTTTTGCAAGTGTTTTTCCCTTTGATGGATGAAAATATTAACTTTTTTGCATTTGACCCATTCTTATTAGTTATGTGCTATTAGGGCATCGTTGGCTTCAAATATATTACATCACATATTCCTTGATCCTCTTTATATGGAATTCAATGAGGTTAAAGTAGCCCATATTAATAAATTTTCTCTGTGGTCCTTTCTTGTTTCCTTCTCGAAAAATATCTTTGCAGATGCTTTCTCAAAATATTTTTTTTATAAAAATATTTTTTTATCTCTCAAAAAAAAAAAAGTCCTCTGCAAATATTGGAGCAAGTAATGGGAGCTGGGTTTACAGCGACTAGGGCTGTATGCATTTATCAATGTGGTAGATTTTGTGACTATGCGTGTTTACCAGGGCTTGAGTGTGAATGCATTTATCAATGTGGTAGATTTTGTGACTATGTATGTTTATCAGGGCTTGAGTGAAATGGATATCTATTGCTTTGTGACATCCAGTTAGTTGCTAGCTGTCAAAAAAAGATGGGATAGCATGTCCACGTCCTTGCGTCGGACCTTCAACACGACACATCCACACAACCTTGAGAGAGGGGGAGGTAACTTCGGGTGCTCTAGTGGTGTGATTTTGAAACAACAGGTGAGCAGAAGTTCTAAGTGACTTTAAGTGCTGTCGTGGTGTGATTTTGAAACAATAGGGT